GTGGCGCTGGGAGTAAGTACGACCGCTTGCGGTTTATCGTCTCGCGTTTTTTACGTCCCAGGGCGGGATTGATTGCTTTTTCGAAAAAGTCACAGCCAGAAAAAACAAAAAAGTCACTTTTTTACCAGCTAGGGACAGTGTTTTAAATAAGTTTTTAGCAAGCCAGACGCTGGAAGAAAATCCCAGCCAGTAAATAATCTAATGCTAATATTTCCCAGCCAGCGTAATTGCAGCCTGTCGAGCGGGTTTTCTGTCGAGCGGCTCCGTCGGGTACTCCTGAATATAGACAATAAACATGCAAAACAGGTCAGTTTTTGAAAACAAAACACAACAGGACTCAAAGTCATTAGTGATCCGCTGAGCAAAGCAAAAGTTAAATTATCTTATCCGCAGGTAATGCAGACAATCAGTCTTAAGAAAATCAAGTTTTACCCCAAGAAAGCTCATACAATTTCAATTCACCACATGCTCAGCTGATCAAGGGGGCGAACTTCCGAAGTAAGCGAAGAGAATATTTGACTGTTGGTTTAGCATGACTACAGCTTTTGTAATTTTCTGGTGTGGGATCACACTGAACACTGCCTTTGAAGTTAGTGAGTATCAGCTCTTTTTTCAGATTTTTCGTCATCAATGTGTTAACTTTACAATTAGTTCATTTCGTCATGATCGAACATTGTTCTTATTTAGCAAGCCTGAGAACTGAGATGAATACCTGTAGCATTAACACGGTAAAAAATAGTTCTGGGGAAGAAAAAGGTTGTAAGTTTTAAGAGGGAATGTTTCAATTTGGATCAAACTAAATGCCTACTTACTAATACTTACGAACTGTTTGGTCTTTGTTTAATTACAAAAAAAGCAAAACTAAACAAAACTGTGAATGTTAGCTATAAAAGCTCCTAGCTTTAAATCTACATCACTTTTATTTTTTACTTTATTTTATTTTATTTCATTTATCACATAAAGAGATACAAAGAAATTGCAATTATTAGTATGAAAAAATAGAAACAAAAATGGCGAGGAAACGGAATAAAAACCACGAGGCTTGTGAAACTAGGTTCCCTCCCAAGAAATATAAGATGACTTGTCATATTTAAGCTGTAAATAAAACGACGCCAAATTTCTTACATATACAGAATTTGCTACAGGGCTTGTTCATTCGAGTTATCGCTTTGTTTTTTTACTCTTAGATTCATCGCACATTCAAAGCTTTTGCTTTAATCTAGCGCCATTGAAATCAATGCTAATACAATTTCAATTCCCCTCCCTTTTAACTGATCACGGATACGAACGTTCCAAGTTATGGAAGAGAATATTAACTGTTGGTTTAGCATGGCTACAGCTATTGTTATTTTCTAGTGTAGAATCACACTCAACACTGCCTTTGCAGCTGGTGAGTACAAGCTTAGAAAGATTTTCGTCATTTATATTTCGACTTTACAATTAGTTCATTTCGTCTTGATCGAACATACTTGTAAGTTCGCAAGCCGCCTAAGAATTAAGATGGATACCGGTAGCATTAGCACAATGAAAAATAGTTTAAGGAATGAAAAAGTTGCAACTTTATTCCTTCTACATCACGTTATATCTGAAATGTTTATAGAACAACGCTACGTCTATACACATACAAAACTTACTACAGACGTGTTCATTCGAGTTATCGCTGTTTCTTGTCCTCTTAGATTCATCGTACATTGAAAGCTATCAAATGTAATCGAGCACCACTGAGATCAACTCGACTCAAAAGAAAGAAACGTGACATTTTAAGAGAGCACTGCTCCTCTTTTTCAAATGTTGGTCGAATTAATCGTTTTCGCCAACACGTAGCTGCTGTCTTTGCGCGCAAGTCAATTAAGGTGTAGTGCAAATGAAAAGAAAATGATATTTTAGAAGAATATCAATTTAGTATGTGATATTTTTGTTCTCCAGTTTTCGTACCTATATCAGAGCAATTTATCTTATTATCGAAGAAGGTTATAAAGCTAACAAAATCATTCCATTGCGTTTATTGTTAGAAATCCAGCCGCCAACTTCAGGATCACTGTCAACCACAGGATCTTCAGCATCCGGGACAATGTCAACCACAGGATCACCAACTTCCGAGACAACGTCAACCACAGGATCATCAACCTTCGGCACAATGTCAAACACAGGATCACCAACTTTCGGGACAATGTCAACCACAGGATCGCCATCATCCGCCACAATGTCAACCACACGATCACCAACCTCCGGCATAATGTCAAACACAGCATCACCAGCCTCCGGCACAATGTCAACCACAGGATCGCCAACATACGGCACAATGTCAACCACAGGATCGCCAACATACGGCACAATGTCAACCACAGGTTCACCAACTTCCGGGCCAATGTCAAACACAGGATCGTCGACATCCGGGACAATGTCAAACACAGGATCGTCAACATCCGGGACAACCATCGAATTGTCAAAGCGAAGATCGTCGACACCAGGTGCTCGGTCAAACACATCTTCACAAAATTTAATGGCAAATTTCCCAAAAATGGCAACTGTCGAAGCTCGAAAAGAAGATGAACAGAAAGATTCCCTGCCTCGTTGGGCGATACCGACGACTGTCGCTGTTTCAGTGGCTTCCTTGATCACGATAATTGCCGCGATTGTCATAAAACAAGTAAGTTGTCACGTTGTAAATACATTTCCTGCACGTAAAACGATTTCCCAAAGAAAAAAATAAGGTAAAGTTTTCCACTACACTTATTTCAGCAGAACGTAAAGGCGTGCTACCCAGCGTAATCAAGTTGTTTACCCTAGGTGCGAAATGTTTTCTTGTGTGGCTGCTTCTCGTGGTTAAGACTTTCAGACTTTTATCCAGCATTTCCTTAGCAAATAGAGCTCAACGCCAATCAGCTTTTAAGGACGTTCGCGCTAATTGTTACTGCGCACGCAAATTTACACGCACGTCATGCATTGAGCGTGCGCTAAGTAATAAAAGGAATAATGATAGGGCAGATGGCAACTGCTATAGTTTTGCCTGGATTTAACGGTCTTGGGCGTTCGGTGACCCCTATTTTTCTTTTCATGGATCATTTTCTCTACCGATTTTCTACGTTTAGCGAAACAAAGTGAAGAAAATCTATCGATTAGAAGTTGGAATTTTTCGCAAAATGCACCATCCAATTCCCGTTCTGTTTAGCTCTTCGTTTATTTGTGCGGTGGTTTCAAATGCCTCTTGAAGGGTTAAGTTTTGTGAAAACTTTGGCAACATTTTGGAGTTATCAAGGTAACAGATTCACTTATACAAAATATTACTAGGATGGATTGTCTCCTTTGATTCATCTTTGATTCATCGTTGCTATTTTAAGCTTAATACCCTGGAGATCATACTGCTTTACGCGCGCCAGTTTGTCAAAATCAGACTAGTCTTCCACACGCTTTATCTCTGAAACGAAGTTCGTGACCTCAATTTTTTTTTCACTTCTGAAACAATTAATTCATTACCTGTCCGCAGTAGAAGTTTGAAGAAAATCTATCCCGGGTAGAAAATTTTCGCGCGAACGTCCTTAATATGCATATTTGATTGTACTCTTAAGGGGTGCTCTCCAAAAGTTTTGTTGGCGACACACGGCTCGCTTATTTAAACTGTTACCTTGGTTACCCAGTTTCATTGTTTCAGGCCAAAACATGTGATTTTTTTTCTGTATTTAAGACCAGTCCCCCCAAAAAACACTCTCATTTTAGCCTGAAAAGGGCTTCAAAATCTCAAATGTTAATCACGCTACGCCTCTTATTGCTAAGCGAGATGACCACCAGGTCATTTACCCTTATGTTATGGAAAAAGATAAAGTGTGCGTCGAGCCTACTGGTCCATACAGGCGACGCTTATCCCAATTTCAAAAGAATTGAGAGAAAAAGAGTATTTCTAGTCCTCGTTAGATGGAATGCTAGTCCATCGGAGGGTTACCCTCAGCGTTTAATTCGCTGGTACCCACTTCTTCCCTTAGGTGGAAATAAGAGAAGCACTGTGAGAGTAAAGTACGTGTCCCTTTGAACACAAGACAATGGCCTTGGCCAGCCCTGGAACCCAGACCACTCCTGCGCACTTACCATTAGGTAACCGGCTTCCCTCAGTTTCTCATGTCAGAACTGCCTCCCCCCCCTCCCCGCCTTAACAGTTCGAACGTCCCCAAGCTAAGAAAGTACCTCACACCCTTCAGGGCAGTAGAACTATCCTGTTATGTATCAAGTTCAAGTTGTTACTTCTGTTTACTAAGCTTCAACTGCTAGTGCTAAGAATTAAGTAGCAGATCGGTAGTAGTGGAAAATTCTTCAGCTGATGATTTCTTCATTCTCCTCACTTGTTTGCTTCGCACTAATTGACAATGTTATGAAGGTAGATAACTTGGGGACAAGTGTTAAAGGTATTCGTACAAACATTTTCTCACGTAAGGACTAAATTATTAACTTTCTTTGATTTTGCCAGCTCCTACGTGCCAAGAAGAGGAACAGGGAAGCTGGAAAAGCGCCATCCAACACTGGAGAGAAAAACATGGGATATTCAATTGCTTAATTGGCCACTGACTCACTCGAGTTGGAAAAAAATTTATCGATTACTATCGTTTGACACAAATTGTTAACAACCGATAATTCCCGTCTTCAGAAATATCGATTGTTATCGATTTTTGCTGTTGAGATCGAGCCTTACGTTTGTTTTCTAACGCAAATAATTGAAATCACTAGAACACTGACTGTAACTGCCTATTTTGTTTCATCTAAATGCCGATCCTACAATGTGGCCTGACGTTCTTCTGCTGTCGTAAACCAGCGAGGAAAGATGCAAATCCCAAAAAGTTTCTGTTAGTTGTTTCTGTTCTTATTATTTTGATGATGATTGTAAAAGATACGCAGGCTATGGAGATTAAATGAATCCATAAAACCATTGCAGACAAATTTTTTTAATGATTTTATCAGTGTAACTTGAAAAGGTTATCAATAATATGTAGATTTAGTCAACCCTAAAAGTGGAATTCCCGGGGTGGGGTTGTTCAAAGCTGGATTAAGGTCATTCCACTGAAATAGAATCTGCACTGAGATTTTTGTGAATCTGCCTACTGATTGCTTATATTATAGGAACTTAAATTTTGAAATAAAAATGAGGGGTCCCCATGTTCGTTTAGGAGCAACAGCACCTTGTTTATACCAAATAAATCATTATAATAGCACCATGATTGTAGTCACGATTGCTTGCTAAATTCACGTTTCCGACGATTGTTTTTTGTTCTACATTGAGAATTGGTCCATATTTATTTTACACAGAGACATTTATTACTCAATTCAAAACAAGAGAAAAAAATGATAGGTCACCATACTCGTTTGCGAGAAAATGACGATTTATCTCTATAGCGAGATCCAGCCGTAAAGAAAAAGCCGCCATTTTTTTAATGCGCGCGCGCTAATCACGCGTGAGATTATGCGCAGTAGGGATGCGCAATGCGATACTGGGGAATGATCTTAATCTAACCCAGGATAAGAGAGAATTTTGATTTGAGTTTTGTAACTGTGCGGTGAGTTTTTCTGTCTATATTGTTTGGCTTTCTGTTTTGAGCTTGAAGAATCTCAAAATATACAAAATAAAAGCAGTGAAAAACATTTCTATAAAGGAAAATTTTATTCCTCTGTTACCTTTTAATCCCGGGTTAGCGTTAACCGGTTTCCGAACAAACCGGCCCTGATTACAACAAGTTAACCTGACGTGAGCACGCGATCAAATCGAAAAGCAGCACTTGGTCAACGGTCAACTTCAAGAAACACGTAAGCTCAATGAGCTCTAGACTTGAGCCCACGATATGGTCACGTGATACTGGTCAGCGGATACCCTCTTTTGACAGGTGTCAATCGACCATACCAGGGATGTCCACTATCAAAGATGTACGGTGTAAACCAGGGCTGCATGTCTCTGTCAACCTGTTAGCTGGAGTTTGGCCGCCTCCGTCTCCGGCGCTGCCGTCGTCGTCGTGTGCACGCGCCCACGAGCAATGCCGCTAGCCATAATAACCATGAAAAAAATCAATTTATGGTGCCCCGCTTGGTGGCCATTCGAATTCGGGCCGCCGGAGCTCCGTTATCAATGTAATCAATCGTTACCAATTTACCATCGGCAATCGATTCTCATCGATTCTTACGGCAATCGATTGCAATCGATAATCGGTATATCGAGTGACTACAGCTGGTTTTAAGGGGAGCTTAAGCAAAGTACGAAGGCGACGCCAACTAGGGCCCCGTTCACACTTAGCTGGAATAATTTGAAATTGGAGGATTCATTCTGAAAAAGCATCAAATGTTTTCCGTCCACACTACGCCGGAGGAATTTGAAAACGCCCCACAATCACCGGTCATTTTGGATTTGTGTTTGAGAAAAACTCGGTCAGGAAGATCACTTGGTTATCCTGGCGCCATCGTTTTCGAAAAATGGGAAGGGGCCTAGAACGTCATCAAACAAAGAGTCTAATTTACAGGACTATGGCTATGCACGTGCGTTATAAATCTTTGTGCATTTCATAGCCCTCCTCTGCAAAAAAGACCTATCGGCGTGGCGCACTGAACAGATCTAGATAATTGCAAAATTCGAAGGTAAAATGCAAATCCATTTTCAAAGGGGCGTCGTCCTAGGCGCGCCGTCGTCATTGCTTAAGCTCCCTAAAATCATGGTGATGGTGGTTCACCAGACACGGAACGTTTATATAGCATTTGTCAGTATCTGGAACGTACTATATAAATAGTGAACGTAACACCTTTATCAAACGCAGTTCGTCAAAAGAGAGATTTGTTTCCATTTTGAAGGAAACAAACAGAAAGGACGTCGAGTATAATCAAAGAAGGCTCTTAACCTTACAAGGTGGTACGCCATGTTAAAGATTACGACCTTTTTCAGCTTAAAAAGTTCGTTTCTTAAGGAGGGGTTTCCCGTTACAATCTTTTCCAAAGGAAAGGCGTCATATTTCGTTCGTGTGAAAGAATATAGACATACAATCTTGGTCAGTTTGCTTTGTGCTCCAGGAGAAAACAAAAACTAAACAAAAAACAAAATTAAAACAACGACAGGACTCAAAGTTACTAATGAATGAATACTTTATTGAACCTCCCCAATGGGGCTTTTCAGGAACAATAATAATTATAAAGTAATAATTTACATAGTTATTTAAATTATTTACAAGATTAAAAAATAAAAAATTACTCATCACTATATCAATTACATCCTAAAAAATCCCTCAGAAGCTTGCTCCTTTAAGATTGTTTCGTTACTACAAAGTTTTAAATTCGATTCCAAGGAATTCCAGATGCTGACAGTTCGGTGATAAAAAGTTCTCTGCCCAGAGGCAGTTCTAAAAAGAGGGACATTTGACAATTAGGAACTCCTGGTTGTGTATCTATTTACATCAGAACGTTTGGTGAAGATAGTGCTTAGGTATTCAAGGGGC